GGGCTGCATCAGCATCCATGGCTTGGGCGAATTGATAGTGGTTTATGGAAACATGAATCACTAGAAATATATCGATGTTTTGGAGTCAGGCTTGCTACCATCTATTACTAACATGTTTGGTGAAAGGAATTATCCATCTGTTCACCAGGATGACAATGCTCCTTGTCACAGGCCCAGAGCATTTGATGATTGGTTTGACCAACAGGACATTCGCAGGGTGATGTGGCCTGCCCAGAGTCCGGATACAAAAATAATAGAAAATTTGTGGAATGATATGTCAAAACTTTTTACAAATGCCCGTCTAACGAGCAGAGAAACTCTGTTATTTTCAGTGTTTCATGCTTGGGCCAGCATAAGCCCTGAACGCATCAGGCAATTAAATGAATCCTTGCTTCGTAGACTGGCACCTATTATAAGGTCACGTGGCTATGCCATAAGTACTAATTTTGGACTTGAAACTACATATTTTGGTAGAATGTATATTTTGTTCTCATTTTGTGATTTTTTGTGAAATATGATGTTAATAAAATGATACCAGGAGCATATCATTCCACAGTCATTTATCTCCCCCATAGTATTGGCTCAGTAGGGGTGACACTTCTTTTGTCCAGTGTGTGTAGGTCAAAAATGTTATTAAAGCTATCACGTCCAACCTGTATTTAAGAGGCTAAACACGCTACTGACTTTTCTGTGACTAGTGCTACTTCTAAGATTTATGATGATGATATCTTAATGCATAATCTTGAATTGTCTTTATTTTCTACCGACCTGGCATAAAGCTACATGTTTGAATCACATTAGGATAAAAGCAGTGATTAGTTGAATTTTATTTTAAAGCAGTAGATAGCCGATTACCTCATCCAAAACCTGTCGCATTAGAAAAATTCATTAAATCTATACAGTTGGGTAAAATTTTATTGCTTGGAAAAAAACAATTATTTTGTTAAACGGGATTACGCTTGGCTTGGAAACCGCCAAATACACATAAAGAAACGAGTCCATTATTTATTAGAAATAAACGTGGACACGTGCATGTATAGCCATTGTGCCATTCTGCCCAGGACCATGATTACTAGAATAATCTGATCCTTGACCCCCACACCACCCCTCCCCCCTGCGGTGAATTACATGTGCCCCTGCTCATACCCCTGACCTTTGGGAATTTAGATTTGGTCCTTTGTATATATTTCTTTTTTGGTCCCTCAGTACTATGAATTTATTATTATTTGATCTCGATTTGAGATAACGAGTCATCATGGTAGGTAATGTTGCTAACCATGTTATTGACAAATAAATAACACAAGAAAAACAAAAATATGGCAAAGACATTGTGAAAATGTAGGATAAATGATATTGTGTTTGCCAATTTTCTTCCCTAAATTACTCTCTACACGTATTGTTTTATTTGCGGACCCATTATATTTGTGGGTACGTTGACCTCATTGTACTGTGAATACATGTAACTGTAGACTACAGAGATTTGGAATATACAGTCTGAAATGTAGGCCTACATACGGCGCATATGCCCACGTGCAATGTTGTACATGTTAGGTTAAAGTGAATATACTTTTAAGAGGGGAATGAACTTGTTGTTAACATGTTGATGTACTTCATAAATCCATTTCAGTGAAGTAGATTTGAAATATTAGGTCAAAGGTAAAAAAACATTTATTTGTTTGGACTTTTGTCGCGTTGTCTACCAATTGACAAAAATCATCCCCTAAGAACCTCGTTATAAATTAATTCACGTTAATGTAATGTCGACAAGAACGAGGCTCTTCCTTTAGAGCCACGTTGATACCTTTTTTATCGTCACTCACCTGGAGAGTGCATCCAGCATTGTCTTTTGATTCTGGACATAGTTCCTTATATCTCCCGCCAGCTCCTTCTCCGCAAGGAGAGATCTCTCAAGATGGATAATCGATGAATAAACCTCGCCCCGTACAGAAGAAATGACGAATACCGAGAGAAAGATCCCGAAGCAGAATGCTACCTTCTCCATGGCGGTGCTGTAACGCGTATAAGCACAGTGTCGGGCAAAACCGTCATGAACGATTAATGAGATATTTGAGTATAAAAGCCAATTGTTTTCCGTGAACAACCACCATACACAGGTGTCACGTAGCGCTTTTACCTGAACAGCACAAACCAGTCCCTCCCGCCGCGTAGGCGGAGACGATAAAAACTTCTTCTTGATACTTTCAACGATTAAAAACTTTGGGGTTGAAATGGCCTTTTTTAATGGTCTTGTTATGTTGGGTGACTATCGTGATTTTCTCGTGTTGAAATTGAAATGTGTAACCCATCGAAACGAGTTTTTTATATCAGCGATATCAGCATGGCGTGCGAGGGCTCATTATCAAGATTATTATGGGCATGCCGCAGCTTACTTGAATGCAGTCAACATAGGACCATAGGAGTATGGAAGCGCTTCATAGTTTTTCATCACGCCAGTGATGCCCCCCGTGGCACGAATGTAACATCATAGACATCTGCTTTTGTTGGCGAGACATTAAATTTGTATAGTATGGAAATAGAAAAGATGGCTTATCTCAAACGATGGAATATATTTGAAGTAATGTGTAGCTCGTACATGTATTCTTTAACTCATCATCATTATGCCTAATATAAATTGCGGTAATTTGCATCGCGCGGTTGTTCATATTCTACAACTGATTGTTATTTCACCTGATGTAAACTAGTACGGAGATTTGCATTGTCTTTGGTATTGTGTACATGAATGAGTAGCTTCGTTGTCTACATGAAAAATGAAATAGTGTATCTTGCCTTTTTATTTGTATCTTTTTTTAGTTTTTGTGACAAAGAATGCTCTGCTGCAGAAATTGCCAATTAAGTCCTCCTCTCACATAATGTACGTGGTTGGAATAATTACGTGGTATCTAATTGCAAAACCACGGGTGATGTTTATATTCTAATTAAAGCTCTGAAAACGTGTGCACTGTGCAGGCGCGTTTACCAGGGGCAGATCCAGAGCTATGTTCTGATAGTCTTCCAAATTACCTTTGTTGATTCATCCTTCATTTTTGACCGTCTTCCAACAGAAAAAATTAGATTCCCGACAATATAAACTTGAAAACCTGGCCGTCTTCCGGAAGACCTAGAAAACAGCCTAAATCCGCCCCTGCGTTTACGAGTGTGCTATATTAATTGTCGTAGGGTGCACGTGTGTGTTTCTGCGTGTGTGCGCTTGTTTGTGTCTGTGTCCTCATTAACACGAGCACGATGCTATGGGTGTGCAAGTGTTTGCGTCTTGAAGGAGCAGTATAAAATAATGCGGTAGAGGTGATAGCTTTTAATGTGATAGTGTTACACACTGACAAGTGATCAGTCTTGAATCCGAGTTTCCGCGTTATTTATAACGAGACGTCTTGTCATTTCACTACATGGCAACAGACAAGGCAAAAACATTTTTGGGATGGGTACGTCCGTACATGCCTTAAGAGTGCTGTGACAATACACGGTAAAAAGTAGCGAGTTTGAAAACAAACAGTATATCCACCAAAAGGAGAGAGATTGCGGACAAAATGACCAGACTACAATGAAATGCTACGGATCCAGAGACGCTTCATATATCCAAGACTACCTGGAGGAGATCGTGAAGTAAGGCACGTTATGCGGTAAAGCCAGACTTATATTAGCAAATATAGACGAGAGGCAGTTTGAAAAACTAGTACTACATGTGTGTATTTGGAGTAAAATTTCTAGCTACGTGTACTTCAATTCAGATTATCTTCCATATATGCATTAGTCCATTGATATAAAGTACATGTAGGACTGATTTTAAAAAAAATTATTTATTTATTTATTTACAGACTTGACATTTAATATGGAATATTTTTTCTAAATTATTATTCATCAGTTTTATTCCTATTTTGCTAACTGATAAATAAAAATAAGGATAAAAATCGTGTTTTAATAACTTTTGATAAAATGTTCCATGTCATTGCGACATCAGTTCTTTAATTGACTTCGCCAGTGAAGCAAACAAAAATGCATTGCCAATTTTAAGTCATACGACAACCATTGAAAGCGATATTTTGGATCTCCATATCTTCCAAATTATCGTCTTTAAAAGAGTTACACGACCCACAAAGGACCCTCATGTCAGTATCTAGTCACAGTAACAGTCGTTGCTATGCCTGACCTTATCTTCCTGCTACCAGAGCTTTCAAGAGGCAAGGCATTTCTTGCGATATTTTTTTTTTTTTTTTTTAGAATTTAATCTGGAATAAAATTCCAGTCAACGGTTAAAACTTGTCCAATTTGGTCCAGTTTTGTTGTAAGACATGCAGGCCGTTGATTTGGCGACTATTGACCGAACCACATATTGTCAAAGTGGTTCAAATATGGCGATTTTGATGACCAAGGTAGCTGCTTATTCCTTTGGTTCTGTAAGTTATCTGCTATAAAAATTTCTCTGTGTGAACCAGCAATCTGATCGTGCAACCTAAAACTGTTCCTAAGGTGCCCCCTATCAAATGATAGTCAAGTGGTTCCCAGATTATTCCTTTATTTGATCTGGTTCAGGTTTTCATCGATGACTTCCACATATTGACGCTGTCAATGGCCCTAGTCACTTCAGAAGCGGCACACACCTTGTCGTAGGCCTCTTCAGGATGTCTGTAAACTCTTTTTGACCAATTTAGCGGTATAGGTGAAATCTGACCTCAATAAAGAAAACAACGCGATTTCAGTGTTCTACCCAGAAACGGTCTTGGTCCCCAATTCATTAGAGAAACAGACTACGCTGTTTTGCTGTTTACAGTGGCTTCCTCAGAGGTCGCCTAACATCCTAACCTGCTGAAATCATTTTGGTCTCCGCTTAGCGCCTTGAAAAACGCGTTATGGTGACAATTTGCCCCTCATTTAAAACGGACTAGGTGATTTTGGTTTAATTGTAGCAGCATTTCCTGAAGGACATTGAGTCCTGTATCCTGGTGGTAAGATATTGATACATTGGACGTGTTGTCTGTGTGGGTACATAACCCTGGGCATTACTCTATGAAACTGTGCGGACAATTCCATTTGGGGCAATAATCTGTCTGGCAATGTCTGTCTTTTTCGCGCCATTCTGGCACAGCTTAACGATTTTGATAAACAATACTTAACTCATTTTACGCACTGCAAAACCGACCGCTTGCATGCAAAATTTCAAATTCTTCTATGCAATGGTTGCCGACATATGGATACATTTTTGACAGAACCATGCCTCGCCAAAGCCAAGCTTTGGCCAGCCCAAAGGAGCACTACCCAATTAAATCACTGCATATAACACAATGCAGCAATGCATCAGACTTGGTAATCAGTTAATTGGTAGAGACACACCTGTCTTCACACTTCTCCAGTCAGATATCTTAAATGAGATCTGAGATTTTTCAATAAAGAACGCATTTTTATCTATGTATACCTTTAAAACTGAAATATTCCATATTAAATGTCAAGTCTGTATTATTATTATTATTATTTTGCAATTGAGACGAAATACTTTAAGATGGCAACTTATTAATACTGGGACAAAATACTAGCAAGCTCAGATTTTGGAACTGTTTTCAGCCTCTATAATATAATGTTTTGTGTAACATACTGTATATGCTGTCTGCACTAAACTGAAGCTACAAGGTACACATTTTGTTACCATAAAGTATATTCACGAGTCACGAGGTCGCAAGGATGGTGAATTTTCATTTGATTAGCACTAATATTTATTTGTTTTGCTTTTGGTTTGTTCTTATATTTCAGTATATCGTCTTGCTCGTCAGTATGGTATTTACTGACAAACGCAATTGATCAATGATGTTATTTAACAAACATAATGTGACTTTTATTGTGTTGTACGTATGTCCGAGGTTCTGCTTCCTGTTAAGTCTTCGTTATTACGTTTGAGTAGATGAACGAGTGTCTTGGCATGTCCACAAATTTGGAGCAAAAGCTAGGACAGAAGAATAGGTTTTAAAGAATGATCATGGAAAGGCCTTAATTACCTGTATGCAAGAGTGCAATGTGGTGGGTCTTCCGTGGAGACGTATAGGCAGGGTTTCATCTCGAAAGATAAGACATTTCGACTTTTAAAATAGACCTTTATTCGCATATTATTATCATTATTATTTCATTATTATGACCCTTAATAATAAGAATAACCGATAAAGTATATAGTTTAAGAAAATCAACTGATATTTACCAGCCAATATTTTGTTTGCTGAGTTTGCTGTCTGCTGAGTTTTTCTGCTGATTGCAATTTTTACATTGTATTTTCTCTTATCTACCTTCTCTTATCTATCCTTATATCTTAAGAATTAGGAAACAAAAGCACTTTATACTGTACACTATCGTAAGAAATGTGCGTTGGCACTTCAGAATTTTCAGAATTTTTTTATGACTTGGGGTGTGGTTGTCCCTGGGGGTGTTTGAGATCTTTAGAGATGTACTTGGGCACATGGGAATTATTGAGACTCGAGGAGTGGCCGTCCCTGAGAATGGTTGAGTGTTCTATTTTAAGTGTAATTTCTTTCATCTCCTCCGAGACCATTCGAGTTTGGGACATGAGTCTTTTGTGCAGGACGATTTTAGTGTAATTTCGGGTGTGACTGTCCCTGAGGGGGTAGGGTGATTGGCGTGTCAGACTGATTCCACTGATTGCACTTAAGTGAGATCCCCTGCAGAATCGGACCGACCCAGCTAGTACGATGTGTGAATCTGAAGGCAGTCTTCGGGGTAGGAAGGAAGGGGAAATGCAGAGAAAGCAGCAGACAGCACTTAAAAACAGACCTTCAGACGTATGCTTGGATGTATGTCAAGTTAATTAAAAACCCATTCAAGAACCCATACTTTCAGGAATCCTCTACCCTGAGTGTCAGAGCAACGTAAAAGCTAGCTTGCTAAATGTACCTTGTGGTGGAGTCGCTTTTACTAACTCTGAAGACCAGCGGCCATGTAAGTTTTCCATCAATCAAACACAACTGTTCCGCAGTGAAAATGCAGTTGAATGTCATCAGACCAAAATAAAACGTAAAACAAATTTAATTCTGCTTTATTTAATTTTATTTGCTATATTTAAGATGTAAAGTGAAAAAATAAATAATATTCTTCGGAAAGAAAAGATATATCCAATGTTTTTGTATTTTTTGCTTATCAAAGAACATTTAGTCCTGAGATCAATACATGTGCTTGCCGTGTGCCAAATTT